GTGGTTCCTGAGCGTCGAGAACGCGACGCTGCAATAAATTGCGAGGAAGTCCTAGGCGAGAGCGCCATTCCTGAGTAAATTATAAAGAAGTCTCAGGCGGGAGCAGGGGTCCTGAATAAGGAAGTCTCAAGCGGGAGCGCCGTTTCTGAATAAAATGTAAGAATGTCTGAAGCGGGAGCGCCCTTCCGGAGTAAATTGTGAGGAAGCCTCAGGCGGGAGCGAGGGTCTTGAGTAAATTGTGAGGAAGTCTCAAGCGGGAGCCGTTGTTGTAGTCCGGGGCCCAACAACGCAATCTGATCCGCAATGCTTTCCCTGTCAAAAAACAGGGTGCGAGCCCCGGAGGAAGCGCTTCAATTGAAAAAACCAATGGGCACCGGACAGGGGGGATCAACAACAAATATTCTTCAGAAGTGAGAGTTCAACAACAACAACAACAACAACGACGACGACGACGACGAAAACGACAACGACAACAACAACAACAACATCAACAACAACAACAACAACAACAACAACAACAACAACAACAACAGCAGCAGCAGCAGCAGCAACAACAACAACAACAACAACAACAACAACAACAACAACAACAACAACAACAACAACAACAACAACAACAACAACAACAACAACAACAATAATCAGCATCGCGAAATTCCACTTCAGCCACGCACCCAGGGACAGTGAATGACCGTTCGGTTCAGCCCCAAAACTCTGATGTATGCGTGTACGTATGCATAAATGTATGTATGTATGTACGTATGTAGATCGGTAAATAAGTATGTATATATGTATGCAGGTCGACATACAGGTATGATGTAGGTCGACATACATGTAGGTATATGTTTATACATATACATACCTACATATAAACATATATATATATGTATTAGAGTGAGGGGTTGAACCGAACGGTCATTCACTGTCCCTGGGTGCGTGGCTGAAGTGGAACTCGGCGATGCAGATTATTGTTGTTATTGTTGTTATTGCTGTTGTTGTTGTTGTTTGTCTGTTTGTTTGTCTGTTTGTTTGTGTGCGTGTGTGTGTTTGTGTGTTTGTTTGTTTGTTTGTTTGTTGTTTGTTGTCGTCCCACCCGCGACCCGCCCCGCGACCCAACTGCCGACCCACCCGCGACCCACCCGCGACCCACCCCGCGACCCAACCGCGACCCACCCTGCGACCCACCCGCGACCCACCCGCGACCCACCCGCGACCCACCCCGCAACCCGCCCGCGACCCACCCCGAGACCCCCCCGGCGACCCACCCGCGACCCACCCCACGATCCACCCGCGACCCACCCGCGACCCACTCCGCGACCCACCCGCGACCCAAACCGAGTTCAGTGTACAAATCGAAATTTTCGGCGCCTGCGGCGGGCTGTTTTTGAATTCCTTCCAAGTCGAAGTGGAGAGCCCGCGACCCTCCCGCGACCAAAACTACGTTCACTGAACAAGCCAAAACTTCGGCGCCTGCGGCGGGTTTCTCTTGCATCAGCGACCCACCCGCGACCCACCGGCGACCCACCCCGAGACCCACTCGCGACCCACCCCGCGACCCACCCGCGACCCACCGGCGACCCACCGGCGACCCACCCGCGACCCACCCGCGACCCACCCCCGACCCACCCAAAATTTTCGGCGCCTGCGGCGGGCTTCTTTTGAATTCGTTCCAGGTGGAGAACCTGCGACCCACCCGCGACACAAACCGCGTTCAGCGTACGGCGGGTTTCTCTTGCATCGGCGACCCACCCGCGACCCACTGGCGACCCAACCCGAGACCCACCCGCGACCCACCCCGCGACCCACCCGCGACTCACCCGCGGCCCACCCGCGACCCACCCGCGACCCACCGGCGACCCACCCGCGACCCAGCCCGCGACCCAGCCCGCGACCCAGCCCGCGACCCACCCCGACGAGGGCGAGGAGGACAAGGAGGGGGGGACGAAGGGGGACGACGAGACAGAAGGGAGGAGGGGGGGAGGTGGAGGAGGAGGACGACGACGGAGAGGAGGAGGGGGGAGGATCGGGATGGGGAAGGAAGAGGAGGAGGAGGAGGAAGAGGAGGAGGAGGAGGAGGAGGAAGAGGAGGAGGAGGAGGAGGAGGAGGCGGACGACGATGACGACGACGACGATGAGGACGAGGATGCGGACGAGGAAAAGGAGGAGGAGGCGGAGGAGGAGGAGGGCGCCATTGACATGGAAGGTGAGGGCCACGAGGTCCGCCGGCTCGACGCCCGCGTCGCCCTCGCCCGCCCCCTCACTCTTATCCGCAATTGCGGGGTGCTATATATGTGTATGCGGATGTATGTATGAATACATGTATAGACGCATGCATGTGCGCATGCGTGTATGTATGTATGTGTGTATGCCTGTGTGTGTGTACCTGCATGTGTGTATGGATGCATGCATGCATGCATGCATGCATGTATGTATGTATGTGTATATATGTATGTATGTATGTATGTAAGTAAATATGTATGTAGATAGGTGGGTGTAAACATATATGCATGTTTACAAACATAACGGTATGCATGTATTCATACACACATGTTGTATGTATGCAATAGTACATGCATGCACGTGTGTAGGTATGACTGCATGTGTATATGTATGCATGTACGTATGTATGCATGTGTGTATGCACACATGTATATACTTAGGTAGGTATGTACGTATGTATGTATACATGTGTGCATGCTTATCTGCAGGTATGCATGCATGTATGTTTGTACGTGTGGGTGTATATATATATATATATGTACATATATGTATGTATGTGTGTGCGCATGTATGCATGTAGGTAGGTATGTGTGTACATGAATGCATGGTTGACTGGACGGATGTATGTATGTATGCATGCATGTGGGTACGCACGTATGTATGGATGGATGCATGCGTGCATGCATATATGTACGCATGTGTGTGATGGGTATGTGTGTAGTGTGTCTGTGTGTATGTACGTTTGCGTGCATGTACGTGTGAACGTGTCTGTGTAAATATGGAAACATTCATGTAGTTATACATGTATGCTGTACTGTATGCATGTATGCATGTATGCATGTATGTTTGTGTGCGTGCATGTGTGTGTGTGTGTGTGTGCGTGCATGTATGTGCATATGTATGCATGCATGTAAGTACGTATGTCTGTGTGCGAATGCATGAATGAATGCATGCACTTATGCATGTACATATACCTATACAAACATGTGTATGCACACGCATGTATACATGTAATCACACCGTAATTCGACATGCGCACAACCCGCCCTCCCTGACACGATGAGGCATGGCAGGGTGCCAAATGCTGCCTGGCAGGGTGTCTGTACCCGGCAGCTGGAAACATCTGGCCACACGTGTGTTCAGCTCTTGCCCAGGTGTGTCCAGCTTCCTGGCAATCATGTGCGGGACCCCCCCTCTCGTCGCAGACTCTCGCATGCACTGCTCCACTCCCGAGGCCACGACCCCTCGCAATAACGATGGATCCGCGCCCCCGAGGTGGCCACCATCACTGGTAACAAACATTGGAACTGAGGTCCTGGGCATCCAAGACGGCCGAGGCAGGCCACCAATACCGCCAAGATGGCCCAAGATACCTCCAAGATGGCCCCAAGGCGGCCCAAGATGGCATCAGGACGGCCCACGAGGGCAACAGGAGGACCCCCAGCAGAATCCGAAGAAACCCGCTTCAGTGGTTTCCCTAATGTGTTCAAAGGTTTCGGCGGCTTTGCCGTTTCGAAGTCTCTTCAGCTCCAGACGGCCCTAGCGGTTTTAAAAATGGCCCCAAGACGGCCCCCAAATTGCACAATAATCACCCACGGCCTCCAGACAGACACAAAAGGCCCCCAGACGGCCCAGGACGGCCCCAAGAAATCCCCAAGCTGGCTCAAGAGGGCTTCTGGAGGGACCCTCAAAGGGCCCTCGACGGCCCCACGATGGGCGCAAGATCCCCCAAGGCTGCCTCATAGGAGTCCGTTACTGACTATCTACCAGACCACCCAAACCCAAGCTGAAGACCCGAATTCGACCCGAATTTCGGGTTGGGGTGGGTACGGGTTCCATGTTTTTTTCAATGTTCCCCGACCCCCCCCCCCCCACTGGAAATGGAGGGCACATTGAGGCCTGCGGGCTGGGTTGGGGTGGTTTGGTGGGTGGTGAATTACAAAACCAAGACGCCCCAAATAAGCCCCATCTCAAAGAGTTCCTCGAAAACCTGGGCGAAAAGTGACGCACACGACGGCCTCACATGCCCCCTCGACGAGCCGCCACCAGAACTCGCTTGAGCTAGTTCCGCGTCCTCGCCGCTGCGAGCTCCCTTTTGGGCGTTGGCAGAACTAGGTTTAATGGGACCTGGTTTAAAGATGTGTGCTGGTGGGCGCCCCCCAAGCTCCGCCCCACTAACCGGAACTGCCGTCACCCGAAAAACAACCCTCTGCGGCAGAGCTGGTCCTCCCCTTTCTGGCCCAAGACGGCCCGCGAGGGCCCGGAGATGGCCCGGGAAGGCCCCAAGACAGCCCAAGAAGCCCCCAACACGTCAAAAAAGATCTTCCAGAGGGCCAAACGAAGGGCCAAAGAGGGTGAACTCGCAGGGGCCTTGGGGGCCCTCCTGCACAAGATAGCCCCCAGCACCCCCAACATGCCCCAAGAGGCCCTCAAGAAGCTCCCAGAAGGCCCCCCGAAGCATCCCTCAAAACGCTCTCAACGGGTCGCCTCCGAGGCCTCCAAAATGCCCGCACGACCCTCGCAAAAACAACAGAGACTGATGAGGACGAACCGGCAAGAACTATAAGCAGGCAGCGCGGCAGGAAGCGGCAATCAGCACATACAACATCGGAAGCCGCACCGCACGCACATCTGCTCTTCTGGGGATCAGCAGAATGGCGTAATCATTTTGCACAAATGCAAGTTTAGTCTGTTGCGCACTCGTGGCATGCGCAAGTTGAGCAAATTCTGACACTCTAACCGCGCAGCCTCGCCGAGATGACGAGGCTGAAGACGTGGCCTCACGTCACACTCAGCAGATCCCCCCTGACTCCGATGACGATCCCCACGACGAGGAGGAATGCCCCGACATCGGGTAACCATCCGATTCCGTGTCGTCCTCGACCTCGCGCAGCGCGAGCTGGAAGATGATCGTGCGGGTGGTGATGGGGGGTGGCCCATACATCGGGGGTAGAGGAAGGGCCCCTGCTGGCGCCAAAAGGGGCCCCAAAGGGCCCCCTCGGGGCCTCTTTCTCCGTCCCGAATTTTTTGGCCACCCCCCACTGCCACCCGCCCGAGATGTCCCGGATCACCCACGGGAAGTGGAGCTCCAGGGTGCGGGTGGAAAGCACCTGAGGTCGGCGGTGGACAGACCTCCCTTTAGTAAACCACGCCTCAGTGAAAACGGCCTAGGACCGAAACGACAGACCTGGACCCGCGAAAATGACGGTCGCGACGCCCTCTCGGGAACCGAAAACGGCCAATTCGCTAATCGACGTGTCAGGGTAGGAGGTCTATCAACCTCCGATCAGGTAGGGCGCCATCTGCACACCGCGCAGGCCCCGACCTGGCCCCTTCCGGTGGCCCAGATTCGGTGACACCGCCTACCTTGCTTGGCCATGAGAGCATACATAGACTTAGGTCGGGCATGTCCCCCTACAGGCGGATTTTAGCCGGAAAAACAAATACTAAACAAATACCCCCAAATAGTCAAGAAATGCAAAAAAAAAACGTCCCCTGACTATGTTTCGACTATTTTTGAATATTCCTCCAGTAGAGGGACAGGCCCGACTTAAACATAGATGGGTCCTGGGCCAAAGACGGGCCTGGCCACCAGGGGCGACACTAGCGTGGACCGGCAGGAGGAGGATGAGGATGGGGATGAGGATGAGGATGATGATGACGATGATGAAGAGGAGGGGGAAGAGGAGGGGAGAAACATCAAGTTGCAATGGCGATGCATCGCCGATAGATCGGCGACAGGCTCTCGATAGCGAATCTGGACGCTCTTGGGTGGGGTGGGCTGTCCAGCCCCTGTCGTCGAGAGCAGTGGGCGATTGGAGGTCGACGCATCCCCCCAGCGCCTATCCCCCCTCAACGCTGCCTCCGAGGCCAGGATCGGCGCGGTGTGCATCGGTGCAGGGCGAGTTGAAACAACGGCAGCGCCGAACCTGTCCCCGACCCCTCCCGTACGAGACCTATGCTGCATCACAACGGCAATTCGGCCCCTGACTTTCGTCCTGGGTCCAGCTTCGTGAAGTGACGAACTTCGGGGCCCTTACGTGGGAAAAAACTGAAGGGGCCCTAGGACACACAAATAAATACACAAATAAGAGGATTCCCCATATTTCCAGATATTTTCTGGGTTTCTGTCTTCCCCCCCACTTCCCATACTCTCCCATCTTTTCGGGGGAATCGACGATGCATTGTCTGTCTGTGTGTTTTTTCCCCTCCTGAAAAACATCACTTCACTGATCTGGGGCCCCTGGGGCCTCAGTGGGCCTCTGGGCCCAAACTGAGTGACGCGATGCTCTTCGGGCCTCGGAGCCCGGGGCCCGAGCGCACCGACGCTCCGAGCCGCGCCCGGCCGTGGCCACGATGGGGGGCCCTCCGCGGGCAGCTGCCGCTGCCTCGGCTTCGCCCTCCTCCGCCTCGCATCGGCTCAGGACGGCGGAGGAGGAGGAGGAGGCTGAGGAGGAGGAGGAGGAGGCTGAGGAGGAGGAGGAGGAGAGGAGGAGGAGGAGGAGGAGGCTGAGGAGGAGGAGGAGGAGGCTGAGGAGGAGGCTGAGGAGGAGGAGGAGGAGGAGGAGGAGGCCCGCCGAGGCACCAGCTCTGTGCTCAGGCCCTCGGGCTCGGCCCAGTGGGCCGCGGTGCGGCAGTCGCGCAGGCAGTAGCCGCAGAGCAGCGGCTCCTGCGCGAGCGGCCGGAAGTAGGCCAGGCGCCCGGGCGGGAAGAGCTCCTCGGCCCAGAAGGACTTGCACTCCTGGGGAGGCGCGCGGGCTGCGCACGCACACACACACAGAGACAGACAGACGGACGGACGGACGGACGGACGGACGGACAGACAGACAGACAGACAGACAGACAGACAGACAGACAGACAGACAGACAGACACACACACACACAAACCAAAACACACACACAGAGACACAAACACACACACACACACAAACGCACACACACACAAACACAAACGCAAACACAAACACAATCACAAACACAAACACAAACACAAACACGCACGCACAAACACAAACATACACACACAGACCCCGGCGGGGCCCGGCGCGGGGCCCAGTACTGGTGCGCATGCCCCCTGTGCAGGCGATCGGCGCTTCGCCCATGCCCCGACTCACACGTGGGTACAGATCTGGCCTCTGGATCGAAGCTTTCACGAGCTCACTCTGCCCTTACCCACCTCCCCCTGGAGCCAAGGGGGGGGCCAGAAGCAGGCGTGTGGATCCAGTGCCGGTCGCCGATTGAGGCCTGACCAGGAGGCTGTGTGCACCCCTGCATCCGCCGACCTGACTTTGTCCATCCGCGGCCCCAGAGGTCCTGGCCGCTTCCCCCGAGGGGAGCCCTCCGTCCCCGATCCATCTCTGATGGCCCCGGGGCCCCACAACGGGGCCCCGGCCCAGGGGCCGAAGTCGAGGACAGACCGCTAGGACTGAAGAAACCACACACACACATCGCCCGTAATACCGATCCTGGTACCAGGATCGGCCCAGGCGAGGCCGGTGCAGGTCGCACAGCTTATGCCCTCCATGGGGGGACAGAAAGGTACCTGTACGGATCTCGTCCAGGGGTGCGTTCTGACTGGAATCCCGAGGAGAATTCAGCCGTGGCGACGATGGCTCTCGAGGACGAGCAGCGGTATCAGCACCACTTCCTCTTCTGATGAGGGGCAGCGATAGGGGGGGCCAGCTCAGGAAGGGAACATCGACCTGGAATTGGCGATGCGTCGCGGAAAGATCGGCGATAGGGCCCGATAGCGAATCCGAATGTTCCTGAGCGAGGCGGGCTATGCTATGGGGCCCCTGTCGGCGATCACTTGGCAATCGGGGGTCGATGGAGCCCCCCCTGAGCCCATCCTCTGAGGAATTTCGGGTAACCAACCCCTTCCTCCGCCATGCCGTGCGGGACGACCTGGGCGACCCCCGGGAACGCCCTCGGCGGGACGCAGCTGCTGGCAAAAGCCTCCCGAGGCCAGGAGAAGCTGCTTGGCACCCGCAACGACGCCCGAGCCCCTCGAAGCTCCGAGCTCCACGCTCGCACCCCCGAGCCCGTCATCGTGGTCCCGGATCTGAGCCCTCCGGTCTCCCGCGCGGCCCTCAGCGGGCTCATGAAGCTCACGACGCGCCTGACGGCCGGCCTCCTCAGGTGCAGCGGCCCGCCGCCGAGGCGCTCGAGCAGGCCGCCGAGGGCGAGGCGGCAGGGGCAGGCCCACATCGGCGCCAGCAGCACCGCCCTGCCGAGGAACACCAGCAGGATCTGCCACTTGGAGCGCTCGCAGCCCTCGATCTCGTCGAGCCGCCCGACCCCCGCTGGGGCCCCCGGCGCGGCTTCTCGTCGCCCCGGCCTGGATCTGCCCCGAAGCACTGGTCAGGATGGACCCCTGGAGGGGGTTGGGGCACCTGGAAGCGTCTCGTCGCCACGGCGGGATCCGCCTCGGAAAACCGGGGCGACCAAAGGGTGCCGATGCCGCTGCTCCCCGCACCTCTGCCAGGGTGCGTTCTGACCAGGATTTCGAGGCGACTCCAACGGTGGCGACGAGGGCCTCCCAGGAAGCCCAGAAAAGGGGAAACCGGGCGAAGAGCAGACTGTATGGGTACCTCTTCCTGTGGACCCCGGGAGGCGGCGGGGACCGCTTCTGAGCGGATGCGGGCGCGGCCCGTTCTGTCGCCAGGGGGCCACATGCGAGCCCGACCCCTACCCCCACGATTCCTGAGGGGGAGCGTGGAGTTTACTTCGCTCGGGAGTGAACCGTATCGTGGGGGGCAGGGGCAAGGTTCGCAGATGGCCCCCTCGTCGCCCGACTGGCACCTCTCCCGGGGAGCTCGGCCCGCGCGCCCTCTGGCGAGGGCAGGGCGGGGCAGACAAACCTACCTCGCTCCTGACCACCCTCGCTTCGAGGAGATACCAAGCGAGGCCACACTACGGCCTGCACTGGCCAGGCCGCTTGACGAGGAGGCGCGTGGTGTGACTTGGTTTCGCCTGGAAGCGAAAGCGGGGTACTGGCCATCGCTCGGACGTTTATGTCCTGTTGTTCTTCGGCTTCGTGCGTGGCTATTTCGCCAAATGATCAAGGATGCTCCTCGATGGTCCTCGCCGAAGGAAGAATGCACACGTCCGAGCGATGCCAAGAGGGAGGGCGGGGCCCCTCGCGGGAGCGGCGGCGCGCGCGTCCTGGGCTCCCCGAGGGCGGGCGCCGACGGCCCACGGGGAGCGCTCGGGAGGGGGCCGACGGGCCACGCGGGAGGCCGCACGCCGGCCCAGGCCAGGATGTCTCCTCCTCCTCCTCCTCCTCCTCCTCCTCCTCCTCCTCCTCCTCCTCCTCCTCCTCCTCCTCCTCCTCCTCCCCCTCCCCCTCCCCCTCCCCCATCGGCCCGAGACGAGCTCGCAGCCTGCAGGCCACTGTGGCTCCAGGGAGCGTCCTGGCAGAGCCGAAGAGGCCAGTCGGGCAGGAAGAGGCCCCAGGCGGCGACCCCGGCGACGCCCCCCCGCCGGAATCTTGAAGGGGTCAAGACCTGCCGAAAGGGGCCCAAGGCAACCGAAACAAGGCTCCAAGACGACCCCAGTAGGCTCGGAGGACAAACCGAGAGGCGCCCAAAACGGCCCAGCCCTCACGACAGCCCAAGGGGGACCCACTTGAGCTTCAGGGCGGCCACAGAGGGCCTCTTGTGAGAACCCCAGTAGTAACACGGGAGGATGTGGGGAGGACCAATGATGATGCTGATGGTGATGGTGATTGTGATGGTGTTGATGATGATGATGATGATGATGATGATGCTGATGATGATGATGCTGATGCTGATGATGATGATGATGATGATGATGATGATAATGATGATGATGATGATGATGATGCTGATGATGCTGATGATGATGGTGGTGATGATGATGGTGGTGATGATGATGATGATAATGATGAACATGATGACGATGATTATGATGAGGATGATGATGATGATGATGATGAGGATGATGATGATGATGATGGTGGTGGTGATGATGAGTATGACGATGACGACGATGATGATGATGAGGATGATGCTGATGCTGATGCTGATGCTGATGAAGATGCTGATGATGCTAATATGGATGCCGATAATGATGATGATGCTGATGATGATGTTGATGATGCTGATGATGATGGTGATGGTGATGATGGTGATGATGGTGATGGTGATGATGATACTGATGATGATGGTGATGATGATGGTGATGATGATGCCGACGACGTCGGTGGTGATGATGCTGCTGCTAATGATGACGACGACGAGGAGGAGGAGGACGAGTACGAGCAGGATAATCATACCATCCACCAGCGTGCCCGTGGGCCCCTCGCGCGCACACCAGCCATCCGGATGGCAACATACACGCGTCCTCTGGGGTGGCCATGCGCACGAGAGCTGGGAGCTCCCTCTGCTCCCATCCTCAGGGTCGGGGGCATCTCGCGCTCGAGGTGGTTGACAGCGAAGGCTCTTTAGGGGGCCACATGCGAGCCCTACCCCTACCCCCCACGACTTCTGAGGGGGAGGGTGGGGTTCACTTCGTTCGGGAGCTCCCGAGCGAAGTGAACCCCACCCTCCCCCTCAGAAATCGTGGGGGGTAGGGGTGGGGTTCGCATGTGGCCCCCTACTCTTGCATCGCACCTTCCTGACCGTACCCTTAAGTCGGGCCTGTCCCCCTACAGGGAGTTTTTGGGCGAAAAATGACAAATACTTCAAAACGACCCCGAAATGTTCAAAACAAATACCCCCAAAAACGTCTCCCGACAATGTTTTGCTATTTTTGAATATTCCCCTTGTAGAGGGACAAGCCCGACGTAACCGTACCTTTCGAACGATAACCCACTCGATCGCCGTATCGGCGAAATCTGGTGCACCCAGATGCTGCACGAGCCGTGTCCTCGAGGTGGTCTTAAGTTGGGCGTGTCCCCCTACAGGGGGATTCTCGATGAAAAAATGATTGAAAAAAGCTCCAAAATGGCCCAGAAATATTCAATTGGACTATTTTTGGACTATTTTGAATATTCATCATGTAGAAGGACAGGCCCGACTTAAAGGTGGTATCACCATGCCATAGAGTGGCAGTGCCGAGTCAAGGCGTAATTTTTCTGAGCTCCGCGCGGATTTCTTGGGTCCTCGCTGGACACCCTCCGCGGAGCGCGAGGCGCGCCAAGGGCAGCGCTGGAGGCGCCGCCAGGGTGGCCCCAACGCGGATCCGAGAAATCCGCATGCCGTGCTTTCTTCTACGAGAAGGGTGGCAGTGTCAGACCTGGGGTTCTGGGAATGACCGCTGGGCAAGGGAGAGTGTCGGAGCAGGGCGAGTTGAGACAACGGAAGCTCAAAATCGGTCCCCAGACCCCTCCCGGGGTCCAGACGCACAAACAAATTTCCCGAGATACGTCCAACCGTGGCGACGAGGTGCCCCCCCGAAAGTAAGCCACCGCTGCCACCACTCGCCCTCCCCTGGGAATGGGTTGGCCTCCGCCAGATCTCACATGACAGCACGCCCTGCCCGCGAGGTGCTCACCTCTCTTGTAGCTCGACCGGCCGCCGCCGCCGCCCCTCTGACATCCGCCCTCTGCTGCTGCACACCCTCCGTGATCCCAGGGCGCGGCTCCGAAGCAGAGGATACGGGCACACTCTGGCGGTGGAGAGGAGGGCGAGGACGAGGAAAGGGGAGCATCAGGAGCTGCACGAGGTGGAAGGGTGAGGGGATGGTGACACGGCGGAGGGGAAGAGGAGCTGCACCCGCCAGAGGTTGGCAAGCTCCCGCCTCGCCATCCACGTGCCCGAAGCCCTCCCGCTCGCCGAATGCAGGAACGGATCCTTGCCAGGCCGTGCCCCCCCGCGAAGCGGTGTGCATCACCTCCTCGCGGAGCAGCTGCATTGCCTTGACGCTTATGTGTGGCACCCAGTCGTGCGAGCAGACCGACGACATCCAGCCGAGCCGCACAGTCTCTCGCGCCAGCCGCCTGCTCAGGAGCCCTCCTGGCGGCTCCACCCCAACGTAGCGAACGGACGGAAACTCCCTGCGGTGCATCATGGCCAGCAGGCATGCGATCCCGGCGCCAAGCGAGTGGCCCACGAAAACGAGCTCGAAACCTTGTGCGCGGCCTCCCTCGGACAAGGCCGACTCTATTGCCCCCGACTCTCCCAGACGGTTCATGGCGTCCACGGCACAATCGTGAATGACACCATGGACAAACAGGCCGTGCTCTTCATCGAACGGCCTCTCCCGCCTTTCCGACGCATCCGCCCAGCCGAAAGGGTCGAAGAAGACCGAGTGGGCCCCAATATCGGCGATAGCATCCTTGATATCCACAGTGTTAGGTAGGGCATGTCCCCCAACAGGCGGATTTTGGACGAAACATAAAAAATAATCAAACAACATCCCCAAATAGTCGAACAAATGCTCACACATCGTCCCCAGACTATCTTTTCACCATCTTGAATATTCCTCCTGCAGAGGGACACGCCCGACCTAACCATAGTGCCACGCACCACAACTACCAAGCGCTGCCATGCCTTGTCGGGAGCGGCCAAGAGGGGGGTGTCCAAGAGGGGGGGGTGCAAATCATGACCTGCGGCATGTGCGCGGCCCCGCGGGGGGGCCAGGGACGCAGTGAAACAAGAAGAGGCGCCATGAAATCTGGGGAAATGTCATGGCCCCCGCCATGATATCCCTCCCCCCTAGTCATCACCCCCCTCTTTTCCGCCCACGAGCCTTGTCGAGGACGACCGCCAGCGGCGGAGAGGTGCCCGGGCCGCGGTTCTCCCAGGTGCTCCACAAGATCTCGGGGGGGTCCGCTCCGCGCTCCTGCTCGCAGCCCTCGCGCGCCATCCGCCGCAGGGCAAAGTCGTTGAAGCCCTCTCTGGCCCCACAGCGCCAGCTGCCGGCTGGGAACGACTCCCTCGCGATCTGACACGCGTCGCAGCACTTCGGGATGCTGGTGCCAGAGTACATGAGGTCCCCGAGGAGGTTCATCTTCCAGCCGTAGATCCCGCAGATCAATGGCATCCAGTGGATAAACTCCTTGAGCACGCCCGCGTCACAAGCTTCCTCAGAAGCAGCGCCGCTCGCCTCCCGTGTGGCAGTCCCTCGCTGCGTCACGGCTGCCGAGCCGCGGTCACCCGAGCCGGTGGCCTCCACGTGCCGCCCACGCAGCGCAAGGTTGGCGAGTGCGCCAAGCGGACCTGCTGTTCTACCGTGCGCAGGACCTGCAACTCTCGCGGACGCAGCAAGGTAATCCCACCAGCCCTCTGGGCGAGTGGCTCAAGGAGTCCTCTTCCAAACCCCTTTCTTCCCATTCGTGGAAAGATTTATCACTGTTCCATATAAATAAACACCCCCTCCGCCAGGCGACCAGCAGCCAACCAGGACCAATGCGCCGCCCCCCTACCATCCCTATCAAAAGACAATGTAAAGTCCACTTTGGGGCAACATCTTGGGTTATGATCGGGGGACCACGAGCATCTCGTACTGTTTCTTGACAGGGACGGCGGTCGTGCCCGCATATTGCCTGCAGCGCGCAGGGCCAGCATCCCTTAACAAAAAAACACCGAGACGATATCTGAACCATGCGCGGGCACCCCGCGATCACTGTGCCTTGGTTTTTGACTGGGACGGCGGGGGTGCTGGCATATTGCCTGCTCAGTGCAGGCCCACCGGATGCTATGATGGCCACCCCGCCGCGATCGCGCACTGGTTTTCGACAAGGGTGGTGGGGGCTGACACGTTTCCCGATGTGTATGCACAGGCGCACCTGGCACACTCTGCGCGTGCCCCGAACGCGGCGCACCTGGCGCGGCTGCAGCATGCGGCACACATGGCGCACGTGGATCACGTCGCGCATCTGGCGCACCAGGCGTGCCAGGCACGCTTGGGCCACATGGGGTGCCTGGCGCACCTCGCCCCAGCGCTGCGCATATGGGGTCTGTTTTGGTTCCCATTAGCTGTCCATCCAAAGACTACCACTGAACACGCTGCGGCTCGGGTGCTACCTATGTGTTGGAGGGCGAGTGGAAGTGAGCGAGACGGCTTGCGGACGGGGAGGGTGTCTTGACTCATCCCCCTCCCCACTCCCCCTGGACCTGGACGGGCGGGGCCGCGACGGGTTAGAGCGTCCAAAGCGGCCTCGGCGAGGAAGCAAACATTTGCGTTGTTTTACGTAAGCTTTGGCCACATGTTGGCTTCCTGGCGGGTAAGTGAAGGAGCCCTCTTCATGTGATCGATCACCTCGAATATTGCCCCAAGTTGGTCCCAAAGGCTCCTAAGAGGGCCCCAAGAGGCCAGAGCTCCTCCCCCTCCTCCTCCTCCTCCTCCTCCTCCTCGTCATCATCAGCAGCATCATCACCATCACCATCACCACCACCACCACCATCATAATCATAATCATCATCATAATCATGATCATCAGCATCAGCATCAGCATCAGCATTAGCATCAGCATCATCATCATCATCAGCATCATCATCATCATCATCAGCATCATCATCATCATCCTCATCATCATCGTCATCGGCAGCATCATCATCAGCATCATCATCGTTGGTAATAGCAGCATCACCATCACCATCACCAGCATCACCATCACCAGCATCACCATCACCAGCATCACCACCGCCATCATAATAATCATCATCCTCATCATCAGCAGCATCATCACCATTATCAGCGTCATCATCAGCGTCATTAACATCATCATCGTCATCAACAACGTCATCATCATCATCATCATCATCATCATCATCATCCCTATTGTCATCATCAACATACTCAGCATCAACATCATCATCACCATGACCGTGACCATGACCACGACCATTGCAATCGCCATCACCATCATCATTACCACCATCACAATCATCCTCATCCTAATCAACATCCTCGTCCTTGTAACCATCATCAACATCATCATCATCAACATAAGCAGCATCATCATCATTATCAGCAGCAGCATCATCATCAGCATCATCATCATCATCATCATCAGCATCATCATCATCATCATCATCATACGCATATTGCTTATGCCTATATATACATATATATATGAATATATATCAGCATCGGCACCACCATCTGCATCATCATCAGAAGCAACATCATCAACATCATCAACATCAGCATCAGCATCATCATCCGCCTAATCCTCCTCCTCCCTCCTCCGTCTCCCCACCCTCCCCTCCTCCTCCTCCTCCTCCTCCTCCTCCTCCTCCTCCTCCACCTCATCCTCCTCCTCCTCCTCGTCCTCCTCCTCCTCCTCCTCCTCCTCCCCATCCTCCTCCTCCTCCTTCTCCTCCTCCTCCTCCGGTTCCTGCTCTATCCTCCCCCTCTTGAGGTGTGACGTCTTCCCAGCCGTTATTCCATAGCGTGCTCCCTTGCAAGCATGATCAGGGCAACTCGCCTGGGCATCGTGTCTGGATGGGCTGGTGGGGTTATGCGAAGCGTCCAGAATTGTTATCGTCCGACTCGGTGCCAGACTCCTCGTCGGGCGCAAGCCGCCGATGCCTCCTGCGCGCGCAGTTGTCGAAGCAGAACCACACCCCCTGCTGCTGCTTGGCCTGCACCAGCAAGAGTCCGAAAACAAGGTCCGAGGGGACGAGCACCTCGAAAGTAGCAGTTCCCAACGTCTTCATCATTACCTCCGTGATCGAATCGATGATCTCCGACCGGGTGCCCATCACTGCTAAAGCCCTCCTGACGCTGCGGGTAGCAAGCTCGCCGCTGGTCGTTTTGGGAATAATCAGGCCCGCGTAGACGATTGCTGCCCAAAAAAACAGGATCGAACCCACGATGAGATATGTAAAAATCGCGACCACGGGTGGCCACTTCTTGTCAGAGAAACCTGATCCCCAACCTGGAATCTCAGTTTTGGTTGCACTCTCGATCTCAGCCTCCCAGTCGCTCTCCCACAAGTCTTCGCCTGACAAGTGACAAGTCGTCCACACGCCTCTGCAAAACATGCCTATAAAGTTCACCTGAACGGCCACGCCCAAGAGAACTCGAATGACAACTGATACTTGTAAGCAGACAGTCTGGCGCTTTTGAACCTCCATCATAGTTCCTCGCCCGCTCTGCACCACCAAGCAGAGGTCGCAAAACAATCCGAACGAATTGATAACAAAGTCCAGTCTGAGGCCGAAATCCATGTGCATCCTGTGCGCCCCGACATTCAGCACGTGGCTCGTGTCTAAGAACAGACAGAGAATTCGCAAACAGCCAGATAGCAAACACAGAAATATTAGGTCATCAGCACCGATTACGAATGACCTCCCGCACACATGCAAGGCGGGCATGTCCACAGCCTCTGAACTTGCCTGGAAATTTGCTCGGACCAAATCAGCTGGACGGTGATGCTGATAACGGTATGTCGGGCCTGTCCCCCTGCAGGGGGACTTTCGACGAAAAACTTTAAAAAATACCCCAACAATACTCAAAATGTTGTCCAAAAAGAGCCTGGGGATTATTTTTTGAATATCATTGTTACCTTTCGGGTGTCTTTCTGGGGTATTTGTTTTTATGTTTCGTAGAGAACCCCCCTGTGAGGGGACACGCCCGACATAATGATAACGCCCACGGGCGCAGCACGTGGCAGCGAAGCCTGGGGATCCTCTGACCCGGGTCAATCCAGACCCGGGTCAGCAGGAAACCAAAAACTGCAATGCAAGAAAAAAAAACTGCAACGCAGGTCCTCGCAAACCCGGGTCAGCCATTACGCGCGGCCGCCTCGCGGCCACGAGCGGCTCCCTAACCCGGGTCAGCCAGAGGGGGCCTTCGCAGGATCCTGCAGGATCCGGCGCCCTGGCTGACCCCCGTTTGCACTGACCCCCGTCTCGAGGCTCCCGAAGCCTGCCTCCGACACGCCCCCCGGCGGTGCACGGCGGCGCGCGCGGGAACGGCAGGGCGACGCCCGCCAACCGACGAAGCGCCGCCCCGGCACAGCGTGTGTGGTGTGCGGCGTGTTGGGGGGCGGAGGAGGCGGAGGAGGCGGAGGAGGAGGAGGAGGAGGAGGAGGAAAACACACAAATGAATAGACACAAATAAGAGGATTTCCCACATGTTCCAATATTTTTTCTGGGTCATTGTCTTCCCCCCCACTTCCCACAGTTTCCCATATTTTCTGGGGAATCGACGATTCATTGTGTCTGTGTGCTTTTGCTTCCCTTCTGACCGCTCTCGGCGGCAAGGTCGGGCCATCGGGCTGCGCCGGAGCCCGCCTGCGGTGCCGGTGCCGCACAAGGCACTTCCTGGGCGATCCTCCGCCACCGCCCTGGCGGCGGCTGCCGTGGCTGCACGACTTTTTTGTGCTCTCGCTGCCTCGGCTTATGTTGCAGCCTCGGGGGCACCTTGCCTGTCTCGTCGGCGGCCCTGTCCGCGTCGAATCGGTGTCGAATCCATGTCGGACTCGTCGGACCCGTGTCGAATCCGTGCCGAGTCCGCGTCGAAAGCACGCCAGCTCCGCGTCGAGTCCAGATCGGGCCCGCGTCGGGCACAAGAGAAGACACAAGTTTCTGGGGCAGGCGAGGACCCCCGACGATGCAGCGCAGAAGCTGGGGCTCGCAGACGCTAGGGCTCCCAACTTCGCGCTCTCGCGCTGCGCGAAGCGCGAATAACTTCGCGCCCTCGCGCCGCCCCCCCAAAGGAAGAAAAGGAGGACGAGGAGGAGGGGGAGAAGGAACGAGGACCGCGAAGCGCGAAGCGCGAATAACTTCGCGCCCTCGAGGGAGCCCTTGCAGAAGCTGGGGCTCGCAGACGCATCGAGCCCAGCATGCGCTCAGTTGTTTGGCCGAGGCCCCGGCGCCCGCCGGAGCGCAGTGTCGGATGCGCACGGCGGCGCAGCTGGGGCAAAACAGGCCCGCCGACCCCGCTGGCCTGTGCGAGCGGTCGTTTCAATTCATGCAAACGGATGCCTGCTCCCTGCTGGCCATCGCTCGGACGTCCATTCCCTGTTTTTTTCGGTTTCGTGCGTGGTTTTTTCGCCAAATGATCAAGGATGCTCCTCGATGGTCCTCGCC